CTCTCTCTCTCTCTCTCTCTCTCTCTCTCTCTCTCTCTAACGAACTCCACTACTCTCCTCGGCGCTGGACTCCTCCAGCGCTGTGCCTCATTGCCGATGAATAGCGCAGCTGCAGTCCCAAAATAGCGCAGCCTGTAGTCTCCTCGTAGCGCAGCAAGTGAAGTCCTGAACCAGCGTAACGCTGGATTTCCCCTGGTACCTTCTGTCCACAACTGGGCGCTGGCCCAGCTTAAGTAGCGCTGGGCCGGACCCAGTGAGTCCACGGCCTGCGTTCTGGACCGTGCAGATCGAAACTCCAATCCACGGTCCAGATCGCTGGCTTCGAAACTGGTTCAGTCCTTGGCCTAAAACGGCCTGCCTGGGTCCCTACCGGACGTCCAGGCCTTGCCCAGGACTGGGCCTGTTCGGTACCTGGTCCGATTCAGGGCCTGTGGGAATGCATTGGGCCTGAACGTCGGTCCAGGTCCGAACGGTCCGAAATCTGTCCGAAAACAACAAAAAAAAGGTCCAAACGTTTTTAGAGGCTCAGCCTCTGGGCCTGAATCTGGCCCTGGCCCTAAAACGTGTACCTGGCCTCAAAACAGACAACCGTACACACGTTAGAAAAACAACAGCAAATAAATAAATAAAAGACTGTAAAAATAATCTAAAGCTGGCGTTTTTCTGATGCAGGCCCAAGTAAAAATGCCATAGGGCCTTCAGGTTGCGGTGACGCGACCTGGAGGCCCTATTCCAACCTCGGGTCCCGTGAGGGGCCCGTGTGTAGGCTTTCAGCATGCAACATGGGCTAGGCATGGGGTATGGTGGGTAAGACATATTTGGGATGAAGGAAAAAAATACTAGATTGACAAGGATAGGCTCAGCACACGCCTGAAGGGATGCCACTGCTGTGATGAGAACCTGTCAACAGTAATCAACAGCATCCCAAACAGTTGGAAGGACTTACTCAAAGCTGATTTCCACCCAGGAGATGAAGCCAACAAGAGCTTACCAACTTTCGCACAGATATCCTGGCGCAGAACTCTTAGGAGTCTTCGCCTCCTTCACGGTGGATCGAACTAACCTCAGGTCCCCCTCTATCCACAACATCGACCCGCAAGAATCTGCCCTGATTACTTCCACGCTTCGGAAAATCAGAGTACTAGGCATCTGGTCGAAGATTATCTTCCAAATAGACAGCAATCCATGACCTAGAATTCAACCCTCAGGAATGGGCATGGTCCTCGGGCAATGACAGACTCTACAAGACCCCCATTCATATAACTCAATGCACGGTCAAAATGGGATACACGATGCTGCTAAAGACCAAGGACCCTGATCCGGTAATCAAGACAGATGGAAAAAATTGCTAGGACAGGAAATGGAACCTATCTTGGAGATCCCATGGCGAAAATATAAATCCATACGCCCAGTCAAAACTGGGCCACTGCTCTTCCTGTGAACAGCTGGCAACATGTCAGAAGAAGGAGCAACGACCCAAATAGCTCAGAGCAATATCTGGTGTGTTCAGACAACGAACAGAAAGTCTTGATACACTGCCTGATTACCTGCAAATAAGCTACTGATCTTTGGGCGAGAGCGTTAGTCGTCTGGGATCACCTACTCTCCTCCTCCCTTACGGAACAGCAAATCCAACTACTCCTATGGATGAACATCCCTGCCCAATTTAACAAATCTGAATGCATATGGTCTGGGATACTCCGGAAGGTGACACTCTGGGGGATAAGGAAGGAGAGATGCAACAGAACGACAAGTCCAGCAATCCCAGTGAGCTGGTATGGGCAACGACGAGGCTGTTAATGGAAACGGAGATCCTCTGCCAATGGAAGAAAGTCAAGCTCCAAATTCGGCAGAACCCGGATAAGCAGCAAGAGATGATAACCAAGTTTAGGAGAGTGTGGTTGGTTCAAGGGAAGATCGCCGATATTCATGGACTTCACATCAGATGGAAAGATTGGCACAACTCTACTGCCCTCCAGGGACCAAGGAGGTTCCACCAGTCCGAAGAACAAGACGTCAGAGACACATAAGGCGGATTAGGATCACTTCAGCTGTTGATCTCTGTTCTCCTTGCATTACTGCTTAGTCGACAGGTTCACTACAGCAACCTGAGAGGGACTACAGGGAAAGACCAGCTGACAGTCAATCCACCAGTAAAATGGAGTAATCAATGCTGTTCAGGGACCCGTCGGCTGGACAGGAGGTGGCATGGGTGTGTGGAAGATGTAATTCTATTATTCTGACTCGTCGGGGACTGATGCTCCCCAGAATGGATATAGAGCCAGGACCATAAGGACCTGTTTATCTTAAACAAAAAAAAAAAAGGAAATCCA